TACATTTTCAACCGACACCGTTCTGTGATGCGTCACTACCACCGGGGTGTAAAGAAGAATTTAGTCCCACGTGTTGATCGGAAAGTGTGATGCTCACACGTTCAAACACATGCAGCTCTGGGTGTGTGATCTTTATATGCCTGTTCATGTTCTCATGCCAGTCTGTGTGTGAGTGTGTGTACGTGTGATACGGCAGCACCTCCTTGCATACGCTTTGACTCAATCGCATTTGTGAGGCATTTGAAGCGTGACTGGTGAACATAGACACGGGGGTGAGAGTGTTGTTCCAGGGAGCCATTGCTTGTTGAAACTGAAAGAAAGAAAAACATTTCCCTCGTGTGTAGAATAACTGACTGCTTTTACAGGATCTCACTGTTTCAACAATACATATGTTGTTTTTGGTGAACATGTTGGATGGCAGATAATGTGGAAGACGGTGACTAAGTGATTAGAAAACCTGGTCCCAGACAGCAGAGTGGGCCCAACATTAAATCTCTCTTAAACCCTGAACTCATCCTGCAATTGATGCCTCTTGACCTCTTCTCCGGAGGGTCGCTGAACTGCAGCTGACCCTGTATTCTGACTCCCAGCAGCATGATAATTACATCAGTGATTTCATTACCAATAAACTATTGAGAATGTTGTCGGATCTGACTGTAAATGGTATTTTATTCTAAAATATAAAAATTAATCTGTATACAGTATGGGTGAATTTCACAAAAAAAGCCTTTTATATTTCACCCCAAAATTAAAATGTAAACATAAAGAAAATTAAGCCTGTTTTTATTATTATTATTATTATTATTATTATTATTATACATTATTTTCATTTAAATTAAGTGCATTTATCTGTACTTTAATTTATGTTCACCAGAATTATATTTTTATTATACAAAATTTCCATTTCATAATTAAATTGCTATACCTTAATACTACTACTACTACTACTACTACTACTAATAATAATAATAATTTACATTATTTTCATTTCAATAACGTGCAAATAATGCCAAAAAAAAGAAACAACAGCATAAGAATCTTAATGATACTAATTCTTTTGGTTTTGGGGTAAAATATGACATGGATATGTTCTTGATAGATTCACACACACAGGCAGTATTTTCTATTGTGGAGATTTCCTGTATATGGTAAACAATGTATATACATTTAGTCATTTGGCAATCAGAAAGTTTGGTAACTGCCTCTGTAGGTTGCAAATGATATTTGTCAAAACACAGATGGAAGATCATGATGACTTGAAACATCCAAAAGACCCTGCCCACTGAGTTTATAAATTCAATCTTTACATTACCATTGTATAAGAGCAATGATGATTGTATGCACACACAAAAAAGCTATTAGATTACAATGAGAGCGTGAGGGTGGATGAATTGTTGAGGGTGTGCAATCTGTAAGAATGTGTGCATGCATGTTTGAAGCATCTTTGTGAAACAAAGCCCCCTCGTCCTCTGGGGAGCTGACAGCAAGAGAGGATCTTATAAGTCACATCAAAGATTCTTCTCACCGGTCACTTACTGAGAATGAGACAGATCAAACGTCCCTCAGTAGAAATGAGAGAGAGAGAGAGCATTGCAGAATATTTCTTTATAGAATGTACAACTCCCCAGGGGTTTCCTCTCCTGTTGTAGATGACCCCCAACGGGCAAACGCTGTGTACGTGTGTGCGATGCTTGTGTGTTGCGAATATCAAAGAGGTTGTGTGGCTACATCAACTCTAGCTCTGCACATACTGTATGTCAGTCTTCTCTGCTGTGGACCATAACCGTTGATGGCTGATTCTTATCCACTGAGAACTGCATGTGTCTTCAGCTCTGAACTCTCAGTCTTTGGTTTAGGGCAGTAAACATGTGATATAAAAGTAATATGTCTTAGTGAAATCAGACAGCTTTGTTTCTGTCTCGGACAGTATCTTCCTTGTCACCATCTTGGATAGTGTCGTCAATCATAGTCAACCTCCCCCTCCCCAACCTAATTGCTCCTTTCTGTTCACCCCCTTGCATCCATCTAACACTGTCCTCCCTTTTTCTCGTCCCTTGACTTGCATGTTTTTCTTTGTCTTCATCACTGATAAGCTGCCAGCATGACTGTTAAAAGATACTTTTGCAAAATGCCATAACAGTCATTACAGAAATGTGACCAAAACAAAGGACCGCATGAGACGGATGTTTTTAGCACTGTTAAAATTCTATTTCTCCAGAAGCTATTCTGGAACAAATCAAGCTTCTGAAAAAAAAAAAAAGATCTTTCTAAATATAGACATTTTTGGATGAAAGAGCTTTGGAAGTTAATGCAGATTTTTTTTTTTTTTTGGACATTCTTCATTTCCTTTAAAAAAAATTAAGGCTGAAGATTAGGGATTATTTACAATGAAGGTAAATGGGGATGATTTTTGGAGGATTTAAAAGCAAAAATGTAGAGCTTGTAATTTCGTCAGAAGAGTTGTTCATTTATTTATTAAAATGTGTGTTGTTTGAACTTTAAAACTGTTTAAATCATTTTTACATTTGTTTTAGGGTTTTTATGTAAACAAAGTTGTACACAGAATATAACTTTACATTGTTTAAATGTTTTTCTTTAAGCCTAAAAAAATATATAGTGCCCTGCATATTTGAATCAATCGTAGGTGATGAAATTACAACATAAACTAGAAAAATATAGATCCTACACACTTCTCGGGTTTTCATCATAACAGAAATTTTAATGAGCAACATTTCAGTCAATCAACCTTCCTCAGGCAAACTTGAGTAGTCTGTGGGATCTCTGTTTTTTCTTTTAAAGAAAAGGAGAGACGGGTGAAAATGTTTTGATTGTTTGTTTGTTCTAATCAACACAAGTGCTTCAAATACTTTAAATACTTTGTCAGTTATTACCTTTATACAGTCATTCCAGTAAAGTCACACTGAAAAACAAAAATATTGTAATTTTAATGAAATTTAAATGATTTTAAGCAATTGTGATCAAAGTATTTACAATATTTTTTTTTACAGTTTTAAACTGTAAAAGTTGTTTGCTTTTTTCACAGAATTGTATGGCAACCACAGTTGCCAGTTTTGTTTAGTAAAAACAACAGGATTTTATTATTTTTTTTTAATATATATATAGTGCATGCTGACTCTGGATCTCACATTGTAGATACATTGTCTGTGGAGCATTTGGAGAACTGCCTCTGTTGTTTTCTAGTGTGTATGGTCTTGTAAGGTGGGATACTGTGGCAAGGCAGGCCAGTAAATGTCTCCCTCATGCTGTGAGAGGCAGGAGGAATGAATCCCTCTTCTGCCCAGAGCAGATGTTTCCGCTGCTTTAACAGATTTAGACACACCTGCTGCCTTCAGCTTCAGTTCAAATTAAGGTGAGACCAGTCTGCATGAGTTTAAGATCTCCTGAACGTCCTCAGTGTTGTCTGGAGACTAGTTAGAATGTGATCTATTTCTGTGTAACTGACTGGATGTGTTTCAGCTGGGTCTCACTGATGCCCATGGTGATGCTCATCACATCATACTGTAGAGCAGAATTAGAAAATAGATATTTCCACAAGAAATAGATGTTCCCTAAATGTCCTTGATTCATGTGTAGATATTAGTACTGCAGTTTGTGCAGCTGGAGCAGAATCAAAGATTATAGTTATTAAATGATTAATACATTTATCAAACGGCTGCTTTCTCAGACTGATGTTAAGTGATGGAGGATTGTGAAATAATTGCATGTCATGTAGTTTACAATTAGAGTCTACTGAGTTAATTTTAACTCTGCATAAATTTAATGATTTTAAATAATTTAATTAATAATGTATTGTGTTTCCTTTCTATTTTGTAAATGTAACCATATAGCAACCATCTGACAGTCCTGTAAAATACACAGGTCATTGTCAGGTGACATTTGTGTCTCCATGAGCCATGATATAATTATCAGAATACTGAATTTACTGACATTATTTGACTGGTTTGATTCTGTTTAGTAATGTAGTGTACTTTTTTTTTTTAAAGAAAATGTGCATTGTTTCAATAGTTTATTCTCAATCATAATATCAACCAATTTGCATGTCCCCATTCATCACTATTACATTTCACCTTTAATTCAATATGTTACTTGCAGTTTTTTTTTATTAATTGTGAAATTTATTAGCAATTTCTAAGTGAAAATTGTTTCTGAAAAATCTGTATTTCTTCAGTATATTTTCTGAGAAAATATATGGTTTGAAATAATGGTAAAATATTATATTACTGAAAATATTATGACATCACAGTATATATATACAATGATATTATTTTACCATTAGACAAAAAAACACTTATAGAAACAGTTGTCATTCAGAAATTGCTAGTAAACTTCTTAAACTACGAAACAGCACGTAACACGTTGCATTCAACGGAAATTTGAAAACTCTGATTTGATTTCCGTTTTCTGCGAATGAGTGCAATCTGGGTACCAAAGATGCGCGTTTCCATACAAATAACAAACCAATAAGCCTTAGCACAACAGGGATATAAAAGAAGCTCCCCCATCATCCGGCGCAGTTGAGATCGTGTGATGGTGAACAAGAGGGGCTTCTGCCACTTTAATATGCCCTGACGTCATTCTGATGCAGGACTGAGGATGGCCGCGTGCGTGAGGAAGGAGAGATAAATCAAACGTATCATATCATATAAACTTCAGCCATGTTTTTTTGACAGCACTACGGCCGTCAGCACGCCGTTATACGTCGAGGTCTGTTAGTGTTGTGTTCACTGTCCAGCAGAGCTGTATCATAAAGGAATGCAGGGATGCTGAGAGGCCCGCGTGTGGAATGCGCGCGTTGTCAAAGCGACAGAGCAGCTCGGATACAGAGCGTCACAGAGAGCAACGCGCATAAGAGAAAGAGAGAGAGAGAGAGAGAGAGGGCGAGAGAGGGCGAGAGAGATGGGCAATCAAAAACCTCACAGCATCTCTCTCACTGCAAAGGCTCCCGGAATCACGGGGAAACGACAGCGGAGCCGGTGAGCACCATGACCGCCTTCAGTAGCCGGAATCAGACGCTCGAGATGCCGATAGATTAAACTCGAGACTTCAGTGTTAAAGTCAACGTGTTAAGTCGGCGTTTGTTGCCGGAAAACCGAAATATACCACGTCAAATACGTTTCAACGGAAAGAGAGTGTTGATTAGACTCATAGAGGGGAAAAACAGGTCATAGAAGTGAATTCGTGTTTGTTGTTTTATTTTTTCCCCATTTGCGCTATAATGGGAGAAGCTGGCGGTCGTTTCCAAACAAGCTTTTCAACGGACAAATCCAACTAGACTTAATTTACGTAGACGTTCTGTTGATCGAGCGGCGCGCGTACACAATTCTTCACTTTTAAGATCGTTTCCTCTGAATCTGTCTTATCAGGGTGTTGTCGGGAGAAACCGTGAAACATTTCCTGCTATTCTCGGGCAGCGGAGAATCTTTTGGTTTATTCCGAGCTCAGGCTGATGGAATTGCGCTGAGCAACGACTGAGAAAACGAGGAAATACCCACACATCTCCTATATACAGACCTCGGATTTCTGACTGCGGCTCATTCCCAGGTAACGGCACTTCTATGGAAAATATATTATAAATTCAATTATTTCTGCTCTTTGTTAGGCTGTTGCATAGTAAGCAGGGGTTTCAGCTGGAAAGTACATAAAATGTTGTTGGCATAAGGGGAAACGAGAGGGCCACTTTTGCTGTTTAAACTGCGTGGTGCTGCAACCTGTTCTAAAGCATTTTCCGAAATGCAGAGCGACAGGCGCTTCAACCGCTTCATGGTGCTGTAGCGTGCATGATTGTGTGTCGGGATATTAAACGTGCACATTGACCCATTTTAATGTCATGCGCAAAGAGTACCAACCTCACTGAATTGAAACACCAATCGAAAACATGGACTTTTAAATTATTTCCAGGAATTTATTGTGATCAAATATACTTTTTCTGATTCATTTCTATGCCATCCCACATCACTATCACCGAGCTCCACAATGTATTCAAATTCAAAACAGCAAATAAAATTGGAATCATATATAGTAATGCATTAGCTGATCAATCTAAAACATGTTTTTTCAGTTTTTTAAACATGGATGCTATAAATATACTGTATCAGATATATCATAGCATCCATTAACATGATCACAAATCCAATTCAGAATCCAAGTCAGATGTGAAATTTTTATTTTCTTATACCTCAATTTTTTCTAGTAAGTCCTTTATATTTGCACAAAGAGGCATACATCTTTTCTGTTACATGTTTGTTCATTTATTGTTGTGATTTCACCCCATGTAGACCATGTGCAATTTGTTAAATTGGTGTTAGAACACTGCTCGGTCTTCCCTCTTTTTTTTCTTAGTATATTTGAAAATGCTTTGACGTCATAGAGCGCGAAAATTAGATGATCAAATAATCACTCCGGCCCCCAGCATCCTTCTCTGTCCTCCTGCAACTCACACACTTACACATACACACACAGTGGAACATAAACCTATCACCGTATATCAAATACAAGTAATCGCTGGTTCACTGATGTGCCGAACATCTGGGAGGAGAGGTCAAAGCAAGAGCAGCAGATACCACACACACACACACACACACAGACAGTCTGAAAGAATGGGCCACATTTATATGCTATCCTAGTATGGCCATTCCAAACCTAGTGGATAGCAGAATTGGGAAGAGACAGAAGCTCTCTGTTCTGTCAGCAGGGAATGCTGAGCTCTCTCTCTCTCTTTGGCCCACATAGCAGATATGGAGCTCACTGTGTCATTTGGGATCAGTTTAATGGATGGAAGCAACTGTGTGACTGTCCTTATGTTGGACTGATTTGTTACTGTAGATGATCATTTTTCCACTCGCTGCAAAACGCATCCGGTTACCAACGTAACCTTGGTTCTCTGAGAGCGTTGTGTGAAACGCTTTGGGGAAACTCCTGTTTACTCTGAATACTGAAGCCGGATTTGTTTACATTCGTGTAGCTGCACGAACAAATGGCATTTCAGCCCGCCAAAATGGGCGGAGCCGACTGCATATCTAAGTTGGCGCTGAATGCCATTTCATCAGAATCTTTCAACTGATAGCAGCAGTCATCGACTTGCGTGCAGCTTTATAGCATGGCAGTCTATGAGTTATCTCAGGCAACTGAGATTACGTTAGTAACTGGAGCGTTCCCTTTTCGAAAACTGTCTCTCATGTTGCGTGAAACGGTTTGGGGAACGTATCCAATAGCACTGTGCTATAAATAAGTGCAGAATGAAGCCCTGCCCCGGAGTGCCTGCAATGAGGTCTCCTAAGAAGCATGAGCTAACAATGAGACCCAGGTCCTGATGCTGGGGTCTACATAACTACATTCCAATAGGACACTGTAAGTCCACTGAGGCATATACCTGGGCTATAGCATCTAATATCCAGTGGGATAGTTTCTGCTTTGTAATGGGCAGCCCTTTAGAGCGGCCTTTGAAGCATACAAAGAGCTGCTCTGATTGCCTAAAGTGGCCAGAGTGTTCTATGTAAACTCTAAGGGCCCGGACCAAGCAGAGTAAGTTAGGACCCTGCTTGTCCTCTGAATTAGGAAGAGCTAGAAGGATGATGACTTGTGCTCTGAATGGAGTGGAGAGACTTTGCACTTCGGACTCGGAGCATGTGCATCATTGTCCTGTACCGAAGTTTGAATAACACCTCTGAAACTAGGGGGTCTGCGAGTGAACTGGAGAGAGTAGCCTTGTTCTATGGTCTGCAGAACCCAGCTTGACATTGCTTTCCAAGCTTGGAGCCGGGTGGCAAGTGGTCTGAGTTTTTCACTGAAGTGGGGCAGGGAACTGACATTCGTGTTGTTGTGAAGAGAAGAAGTGCTCTTTTGAGTAGGTGGGTCTGCTATCACAGCAATAATTTTCTTGAGCACGTGCTGAGTAGCAAGGACAGGTCCAGTGTGAACAGAGCTTCTATCACCCAGAGTTAAACGGGGGACTGGAGAGAAAGCGAGAGACTTCTTTGAGGGCGGTCTGGCCTCGTGGGACCTAATCCTCTTCTCTGCCTCTCTTCTTTGAGATCAAGATGGCTTGTGCGGCTCAGGGTCCAATGTCACTCTGGGGCAGGGGCCCTGGTGCTTAGGAAAGGGTTGCATTTAGCCGTCTGAGGGGGCTCTGTAGGAAGGCGACTTTGTCCACATCATTGATCTCCGTCAAGTTCAGCCAAAGGTGGCGCTCAAGCACCACCAAGCTGGCCATGGCCTTGCCGATCACCTGTGCAGTAGCTTTAGTAGCGCACAAAGCCAGGGGTGCGTTTCCCAAAAGCATCGTTAGCCAACTATGGTCGCAAGTTCCGTCGTTACCAACATAGTTCAATGATTCGGTGTTTCCCGAAACCATAGTTCAAACGAATATTCACAAACAGTGTCGCAAATGTACGTGGTAGGAACTACAGCTCTTGTATGATACATTCAGGTATGATAGCCTCAGTGAGATAAAGTGCTGATGTTGGGCAGAAGTTCCAATTCATCTGAAGGGCTTCAGTAGGGGTACAGGTTTGATCGTTGTGCAAGCCAGCAATGTTTGTTTGTTTGTTTATTTTATTATAATTCAGGTTTTTGTCTTATGAATAAAACTTTAACTTTAGGTAAAATATTGTCATGTAGTATTCTTTAATTTTAATAAATTTAATTTGTTTTACTGACTAAAATTACATATTTTAGTCAATGAAAGTAACATTTAATTTATCAGAGAGTGCAAAATGCACCCAAATATTAATATGTAGAGTTTTTTTCTTGTCATATATTTGTCAACAGTATGTTTTAATTATTGTCATGCACATTTTTTTTTTCATTAATGTTGACAATTTTATCAGTTATTTCAACAAATTATACAATAATTTAAACAAGTATTAACATTTAACAACAGCATGTAAAGTAACTAGGTTAAAGTGCATTTGTTCTTTTGTGTCATTTTGTGGAGATACAAGTTATAATATTACAGTTATGTTGTGTATATTTTTGATTAGTGTCATATGTAGGCCTATAAGATGTGTTTGGATTAATTAACCTGCAAAGCACCTTCAGTTTACTGGTGATCATTCACTGTTCACCTTCAGTTCAAGTCGCTTGAACATGATTGACAATGGTTGGATTATTTTGAAAAATCCTATTTTAAAAAAAAAGATTTTTCCTTTTAAAAGCATTTTAGAGGATTCTTAAGATCAGAAGTGTTGTTTTTATTGTCATATGCTTTTCAACAGTATGTTTTTACTAAAGTCATTAAATTACTGTTATTGTTATTATTACTTTTATTGTTATTATTATTATTATTTTTACATCTTCATTGTCATGGATGTCAACTAACAATTTCATCAGTGATTTTGTTGACTATTAACACAACAGGCCAGTCAAGTTCTTTCATGCCAGACTCAGTAAACCATTACTTTATGAGCTTCATTGCCATGCATGAACATAAAAGTTGTTGGAAAGTACACAATCCTCTAGAATGTCATTTAATTCCATAACAATAAGTTTTATCTCAACTAAAATAGTGAAACCAAGGCGGTTTCCACATACTTTTGGCCATCTTCAATAGCATATTTGTAGTGCAATATGTAGACGTGTCATTTCAGCTTTTTGCTGTGTGTGTGTGTGTGTGTGAGTGAGTGTGTGTGTGTGTTAACAGATAGCACCAGACAGCATGTCTTGTTTATTCATGCAGAAGCATCGGATCAATGAGCTCTAATTGATTTCAATGAACTGATTAAAGACAGTGAGGCAGGAGGCCACATCATTGGAGGATATATGAGCATGTGTGCATGTGTTTTATGTGTCTGATGCCTTGCTGGAGTATAGACTCTGTGATCTCACAAGATGAAGAGCCCAAACATAGGGGTGTAGATGCACACAGAAGTGTATGTGTGTGTGCTGGTCTCGTACCATGTAACAGATGGGCTGAACTGAGCCAGATAGGGAGTTGGACACCAGGCTCTTGAATCTCCATGTGTTCAACTGATAGTTACTGATTTCTCTGTAGTCTAATACTAGGACTGCATACGCGATATTTACCTCACCATCCATGCACTTTGCCTGGAATCTGTTCATTCAGTTTGTTGGATTTCTTTATGCTTGGATGGAGCTGTGAGGTGTGTGTGTTGTATTGTCATGGATGAATTAAGCTGGGGATAAAAGCTGGTGCTGTCAAAAGGTCAGATTTGATGGTTTCTCCTGGTTTATGTCACTTCTATCTGCTTTTGTTGTAGGGGCTTTCGTCATAAAAGCAAGATTCTCTCACAAATGCACACACACATCCTGGATTCTCTCTGGTCATGCATCTCAGAGCTTTAAGTCAATGCTGGCCATCATGTCACCACTCGGCAGCCATTTTAATGAGATCTGTGTCCTCACTAGGGTGTGATGGTCCTCCTGTCTCCTCTGGTTTGTGTTTCCCTCACTCCCCCTTCGTTAGATTGTTCTATTCTTTTTGTTCACAGCACCTCACTTATCTCTTTCTCGTAGGCTCTCGTTTTAAGGTTAGAGGAAGGTCAAATGCTCAAAAGAATCACATTCACACACACAGCTACCATGGT